ATTAAAAATAATCAAACCTGTTGATTATTTTTAATCAGCAGGTTTGAGTTAATTTGCTGATCCAAGCCTATTTTCTTCTTTTAGTGAGAATGAAATTACCCCGCATTTCATGCACTTCAGCTCACGGACCAATGTGTTACATCCAGACAAAAACGGAGGAAAAGTACTATTTACATTCGAGCGAGGGTTTCACATATTTTTATTTTCTTTATTTTGTGTGCATGTTAGCTTATTGTCTGTGGATAAATGGGTTCAGTTTCATCGTTTACGTTTAAACAATAAAATATTAGAATCATGAAAAACTTCGGTTTGGTGCTTCTTGGTCTAAATAACACCGAATGTCATCAGATTTCAGTGTATTTAGGTGAGTTTTGACGCTTTGTGGTTTGATGTTCACAGAAAAAGTTTGAGTGGCTGCCGTACATTTTCACGCAAGCGAAACAGTGTGCGTATATTTACGCAAACTAAATGTTTATACATGTCGACTTTAGCGTAAAATATGGGACCGCACATTTTTTTGCGCGCACGACTGAGAACTGTTCTTATAAAGCATTTTATTTGCCCTAGTCTCTATCTGTAACTCCACCCATCCTGTGGTTTTGCAAAGCAAAAATGTGTATGCGCGAGTGTTCAGCCTCGTGACTACGTGCCATGGTCCTTACCCAAAAACTTCAGAGTTTCCCCATTGTTTAAACATGTATTTATTCATAGAATTACAATTGTTAGTGACACTGATCATTTCTGAGTTATGCTTCAACACAGTATTCTGAAATGATTCAGTCATGTATTTAATCAAATAAACACAAGAGGGCACTATTATCTGACTTAGGAGGGAAAAACTGAGTTGATGGCAGATGACAAAATGTGACGTACTACAGCAGTGACTGCCAACAGCACAATGACAGCAGGTGCCAAAGCTGAAAGAACAGAAATACAGCAAAATATAATAAACCTCAGAAGCATAAGGAAAAACAGCCACACTAAAATACATGGTTTAGTAAAGTATTAAATACAAAGACCTAGTGACAAACATTTGTATTCTCTGATATTTCACATAAATTCCTTCAAACCAAGAAGTTGTCTTGATTTTTGATAAAAATACATATTTTTGCAAACATTAATTTTTAAACAACACAACACTCAAAAAGTACAAAGGAAAATAAAACTCATGCTTTCTAATAAACAAACATTGTGCATAAAGGATGCTTAGAACACTTGAACACTTTCTTTGTTTACTGGTACTGGCAGGTATCAGTAAAGTAGTCAGACTCTAAAGGAAGTGATAAAATACTCGTGTTGCTAGTTGATCTTCACCTGATCCCTACACTTCTTTGGTGGAAGCTGTGTGCTGCTGGAAAGAGGAGACGGATTCTTCAAAAACATCGTCCTCCATGCCTTCCTCTATAGGCCTCATCTTAGTTGAAGATTTGGTTTCAGGTGATTTTTCTAGAAATATAAATATTACAAGAATTAAAATGCACATTTCTTACCTGGGGTTAGAAAATGCAAAACTGAGGACCACTGATTATCAGCCCCAGGGCTCCTCAGCAGCTCTGGGAGTGTCTGCATCACAACATGAAGAGCTCTTTCATGGAGCTGGGTGTAGCGCATGACATAAAATTTTGAAAGCTATCTTCACCACATTCACTTTTATCAGATGGTTTGTTTCCTTCTAATGCAAATAATGGTTTCACACTTACAGCTTTTTCTCAAAAATGGAAGAAAATTACACATTATATGATTTCCATGTATGTCATCCTTTCACCTGCATGCAAAGGTTATAGTGAGTAGTTTCCGTTGTTGAGACATTATTCTAAGTATTTGTGACCCTTGAATCCTTCGTTATAATCTTTTTTTATTCAATGCAGAATGATTTTATAGCACTCTAAGGTAATGATTTCTAATAAGAACCAGTTGTACAATTCTGAATTTATGCATACAGGCTCAAATATATTAATTAGTGTTATCTCAAGAAAGCTGCTTTAATGTTACTTTTGTTTTCAAGTAAAAATATACAAAAAAAGTGAACTGAATAAAGAGCTGTAGTTTTGTCCTGCTCTCTGAAAGACCAACGGAACATATGCTATACTTTGATTTTTCTAATTGAAATGTTTGTTTTTAGAATTTGCTTCTCTCTTCCTAAATGTTTCTATTATGACTTCCTTTTTGTGGTCCTTCAATGTTACTATCCACTATAAAGATAACCTTTAACCAGTCAGTATTAGGTAACAACAGTTCAACCTAAAATTATTGAGTTTTCAGATAAAAATGTTGGTGTTTGGTGATGAAGTCCACGTTTCTGGGGCTAGATGGCCTCTTTGCCATCACCTAATCTTTAACTCCTTCCACATATTGTGTAACAATTCAGAATATTAACATTACATGCAGCTAAAGAAACAAATTGGTAAAATTAAATGATTATTTTAGTGTAAGTCTGGCAGGAATAATTCAGAATAATTCTGAGTTCAACTGTATCATGTTCCAGTCAAGCTAATTTTTAAAGTCACTGAATTCTCAGTACCATTTACATCAGGGGTGTCAAACTCCAGTCCTCAAGGGCCGAAGTCCTGCAGTTTTTAGATGTGCCACAGGTACAAAACACTGGAATGAAATGGTTTAATTACCTCCTTCTTGTGTAGATCAGTTCTCCAGAGCCTTGCTAATGACCTAATTATTCTATTCAGGTGGTGCAGCAGAGGAACATCTAAAAGTTGCAGGGCAGTGGCCCTCCAGGACTGGAGTTTGACACCTGTGATTTACACAATATGAGAAATAGGCTGACTTTGTGAATAGAGATGTTATTTTTTCAGTCTAGTCTCTTTTGTTCTTTTATCAATCTTTAATTTAGTTTTAGACAACAACATTCTCTTCACAATATTAATCCACCACATTTATATAACAAACATGTGAACATCAGATACACTGTGAGACTAGGAATCTTAACAAAACAGAAAAAAATATGATATTGCAAGTTAAGAACAAAGCTAAAGTCTAAATTGAGAAGACACACAAATGATCAACATTTTAAAATGATCTGATGCACATCACCTTCATAAAAAAATTAAATTCAAAATTAAAAAAATCATTTTTTGATCCCAAAGGGAAATTATATGTTGTTGTAACACATTAATTCTTCCTATTGTTATTAGTCATGGCTGTTTTGCAGGAAATATCTCCTGTAGCAGTCTGTATTACATGGAATCTGAAGAAGCCTCTGACTGAAAATACTTAATTTTTCCAAGTCAGTCTCATGAAGGGGATGGTCAGTGTTGTCCATAATTTTAATGACCTTATGAAAAATCCTTCTTTGCCTCATCATCTCCAGAGGTTCCACAGTCGTCCCCAGAACAGAACCAGAACAGAACCAGCCTTCTTTATCAGGTTGTTGAGCCTTTTTATGTCCCTGGCAGCAGCCCCAACAGATGACGGATGAAGAGATGACGCTCTCAACAACAAACTTATGATTTAATAAAGTCTTAAATCAAAGGCCTAGTGACAGCAGCACTAGGTCTTGGTAGCAGCAGAAAACTATACCATGTGCCACTCCTGTCAGCTAAAAAGCTACAATTAGAGCAGGCTCATGAAGTCTTAGCTTCAGCTGGAACATTCAGATTTTAAGAAATGGGTGCAAAAGTATGAAAGCATGGACTAATGCTGCCTTGTATCAATTGTTCCAGCTGCTGCAAGAGGTGTAATGATACTAGGGCTGTTATAAACGAATATTTTAGTAATCGAGTAATCGGATAAAA